CAGCGCCTACGACGTAGACATCTGATAGTCCCACAATATACCATACCACCAGGTCCCTGGTTTTCCATGTGTCAGCTGTTTTGCGGTAGCGCCATTACCACATAATTGTTTCAAAATAGGCCACATACAGTCACAACTAATCATGAAATGAACTAATCATCAAATGAATGATAGGTCCACGTCATAGACATGTGTACACTAAAAGTATTTTGTGCAATTATTCCCCCTGTCCACGCTGGCAGTGAAGAGACCTACTTCTAATGTGATTCCAACTCATGAGATTGTCAAAAAAGTGAGTATCCTGTAACATAGCATGAAAACAGTGTCCACAGAATAACAACAAAACTTTTTCTGTGCAAAAAAGACTAACAAGTTATCCACTTGGTTTAACAACGTTAGAAATGTTTAAATCTGATAAACACATGGCTTGGGCTTTGGGCTGTGCATGTTGTACCATTTGACTTACATTCCTATCACGTTAGGACAGGATCTGTTCACAGCCAGTTTAGAGAGGAGGAATCTTTACAGCCACCAATAACTCTCTAATTACTGAGAATTGCTATTCTTTAAGATTTAAGAATAGGACTTCTATACTTGACAACACCTTTAAAATAGATGCCCTTTCAGTCTCGAATGATATCAGACTTTTAATTTTGGATATTCCAAAAAAACCCAGAGGGGATCTGTGTGCCGTTCTTCCCACTCTACCCAGTCTGGGATCAAGCCTAGCTCTGTGGTGCTGTGGAGGCTGGCATTCGGGAGAACGTCTTACTTACATTGCTTTGGTACAACAAAGTCTCTCCTGTTGGATAGCAACAAAAGAGGACTGTGGTTGACTGCCTTATACTGTACAAAACAAATCGTTGTGGCCGCCATCACCAGGATCTGCATTGAAATGACATCCTCCTCACAGCTCTGTTTAATGTGGGCAAACAATGGCATTCTGCTACCCTCTGTTGCCCTTTTATTTGGTATACACACGTTTAATGTGGTCTACACAAACAATCCTGCCATCAATTCTACCTTCATAAATGTTATAATGTTCAGTTTGAATGAAAGTGTTTTAAAGATGGGTTGACTCAACGTTAAGACCGGTTTCAGGGTGTAATTACATTACAATGACTAAGTGTCATTGTTTAGTACACCCTTATTGATATAAATAGGGTGGAGTACACCAACAAAACTGTAGCTGCCAAAATTACCATTCAATGAATTCCACGTCTCTAACTGTAGGCTACTTCAACCTATTATAAACCTAAGCTTATTATATAACTGATGTAATACTGTATAGTTTTAGAAAGCACCTGATAAACTGGCTACTGTTTTTATTTGAGGAAAATGGGAATCTTTAAATTACATTAAAAAAAATAGCGCTGAATGCAAAATTGTGGACTGGTATCATGTTGACCACTTATTAAAAAGAAAATAAGGATTGAAACATAGGTCGCTAATACCTACTGTAACCAAGGTAACACAATACAGTATCTTACAAAACAATATTGCCAGAGGAAGACGTTACTATTTTCACAATAGAATAAAATACTTTAATAAAGGAATACATATAATTCCCCCAAATCAACAATTAGCCACACACAGCCTGTTGTATCTGTGTTACGTGGGCTCTGTAGAAGACAATGGGTTGAACAATAGCCTACCTGTTCAGGTTCACCTTAAGTCCCGCGCCCACCACGCATACGACGCTTGTAACGTGGTCATAATCTACTCTGAAAGTCCGGGGGAGCATCATGGCTGAAGTCCTGCTGCAGTGTACGAGACACTCACACCGACACTAAATGCTGTACGGTTGTTCCGTTATCACAAGCGAGGACGCAGACTGGTTTTGCACAGTGTCTGGCACGCCTGGGCTGAGAAGAACAACAAGATGTTGTGCAGGCTGCAGGTAACCGAGCTTTAAGTCTCTCTGTGGTCGCTGATTGGTCGAAAATCGGCCAACCCCCTGTCACCTATCTCTCTTTGTGTTCCGTCCCGTCTATGGTTCCGTTCCTAACTGTGTGCGTCCACTCTGCATGTGACTCAGGTCTTTTAATATATATTTACTTAGAGTAAAGGTTCACAAACGCACGCATGCGCCGCAGTGATATACATGATATGCTAGTTTCACCATTGGGAAGATATATGGAGTCGCTTATACGCAATGTTTCAACAAACGAAAGCCCTGTAATGTAAAAATCATTGTAATACATATTTAAGGAGCTTTATTGGAGTGAGCCTTTCTGTAATGTGCTGTACATGATTATAAAGAACTTGAATGTTGAAAATGTATGTGAGTGGGCTTTTATATTTTCGTCCCTGTAGGTGGGAAGTAACTAAGTAGATGTACTCAAGTACTGTAGCCCAGGGGTTCCCAACCCCCGGTCCGCGAAATAGCTGTGAGTTTATCGTAATATTTGCAGAATTATAAATATATCAAAATATTTTATCATAATATTTTTTTCAAAAAGTGTTTAATTTTCGCACCTATGCCACCAGTCATATTATTTCATCCAGTAGCTATAGTTAATCTTTCACCAGAAAACCGTTGAAATTGGCTTTTATGATGTTCCGAGGGATTCAGCGGCTCAGCCAGGTCTCAGCCTCTTGTGCGCACGAGCATGTTACCGGTGCGCCAAGTAGGAAGAGGAGCGCACAGGAGACAACCGTTTGATTGCAGACTGTTATGTTTATGTGGGGAAATGGTGGTGCATACATTATTTGAGATATATTTCAAACTCGGACTTCATTTTAAGGACATGTCGGCCAGGGGTGTAGAGGGAGCTATTTGTTTAAGCACCGGATTGGCAAAACAGGAGAGTAAACCAGTCTGCCTTGATCTATGAATTAATGTCCGGGACTCTCACGGTATCTGCTGCCCGCAGCTGTTTTATAGAAGGAAACCCTCCTTCACTTCATGAAATGGCTGCAGCATCAGGAGGCAGCGGGACGTACTCGATAAAGAGCTGTGCCTTTTTACGCACCGCCTTCGCTGTGTTTAACTTAATCAGAACAGTTTAAGAGTGACTGCAGGCTGCTACGTGTTAACCACACACACATCTACACACATCGAACTGCCCGATTACTCCCCCTTTTATTAGTTTTATGAAGGAGATGTCCAGTCAGTCACCAAGGCGCATGATGTGTGTGTGTATGTGCTCTGCTCGGCTGTTCCCAAAATAAATTAGTTTAATCTTAATCTCGATGTAGTGCTATGCTGTCGGGAGTGCACCGGAACGAACGACACTATCATAATATCTTCTGAAAACAAATGCCTGTGTCACACACACACACACACACACACACACACACACACACACACACACACACACACACACACACACACACACACACACACACACACACACACACACACACACACACACCCTGGCGACCGGACATCTCCTTCATAATGCGCCTTCTCCTCGTTTTCCCAGCATTCAATGGATTATCCGTAAATCATACAAACAAAACCAAAACGTTGATTTATCTGTTTTCCCGTTTTGGTTTAAAAACGGAATAACGTCGGTTTTTTGGTTTTCCGAAAAACCAAAAAACAACACTGGTTATTTTTTAAACTTTGTTAATATGTTTTGGATGCATATTGTTCTAGTATTTGTTCAGGCTGTTACATACAATTAGCCTCTGAGTATGTTGCTACCTGCTGGTGGTGAGTAAATATTAAAATCAGTTAAAATTGACAACCGGTCCGCGATTTTTTTTTAATGTATCTACCGGTCCTTGGCACAATAAAGGTTGGGAACCCCTGCTGTAGCCTACTTAAGTACAATTTTGAGATACTTGTACTTTACTTGAGTATTTCCATTTTATGCTAGCCTACTTTGTACTTCTACTCCACTACAATTCAGAGGGACATTGTGTACTTTTAATCCACTACATGCATTTAATACCTTGAGTTACTTTGCAAATTTGCATTAATGATGTGAAATATAATCAACACTTAAATCAGACTTTAGTTACACCTGTTCACAAGCTACCCTGCAGTATAAGACTTCATTAAATCTAGCTGCATCTTTACCATCTTGGATAACACTTTAATGCTTCAATAACAATAATCAAAACATATAATATATATTATTCTGTAATGGAGCAATCTGCATAATGAGTACTTTATACTTTTTACTCGAGTACAAGATCTGAGTACTTCTCTCACCTCTGCCTGTTACTGACATTACATGCAAAAAGTAAAGCATTTGTAATACTGAATACATCTAGGGGTTTACAACTACAAGGTGATATGGGGAGAGGACAGAAAGGAAAAAACAGTTTTGACACACCAATGTTTGTTTTGCTTTTTTAAGGGGGAAAAGTTAAATTCTTACCCTTGTAGTCAATAAACAGTTATTTCAATAAGACCATGAGAGAATTTTAGATTCAAAATTACAACTAAATAACAATTCAAGCCAATTCAAGACATACTGATTTTAGCGACATTTGACACATGCAGCTGCAGGCAAGCATAAATAAGATATATGAAATAAAACAACTAAAGTTAAGTATTGATGCATTTTTCATTATAACGTGACCAAGCATGACATGTTTTATTTTCCCTCAAAATGTAAGCACTATGTCCCTTTGCTTTTGAAGGTAGCCAAATAGGTGAAAAACGTTTACATTTTTACAACTTATAATAATCATAATAATTCTGATTAAAATGATAACTTATAGGAACATGTTGCATAACTTTGTTTCTTAATTTCAAAGAGGAATATGATATGTACATTTGGGATGATAGTGCTAAAACTAAAACTTGTGTTTGAAATTCTTGAAAGGCATAAAGCGGAAGTTGCCACCAATAACCCACAAGGATCGGATATAATAATTCCTACTAGGGTAGTTCTGAAAAATGTACAGGCTACCACAAAAATATATTGGACTGAAATCCAATCAAATTGTCTGATATATTTGACAGGCTTGAGTACGGACCAATAGAACAACTCTAAACAAGCTGGGAAGGGGCGGTACCAAGGATATTCTATGTCATCAACTCAAGGCGCTTTGTTGTTCTTGCAGGACAGAAGACGAAGACAATTATTTCAATTCGTTGTAAACAACCCGGGTTAAGCAAAGATACCATCTCACATGGTTCAGTATACCTAAACGCCAACCAAGCGTGGAGTTATACCGAAGTCGTCCGGTAAAAAGTGGAGTATTTGTGGGACCAAATGAGCTAGCATTAGCTTCTCCGAGAGGGAGTCCACTATCCAGATTGGAGCGGAAGGAATTCCAGGCACTGGGAAGAAGGGGGGAGAAATCACTGCTGGGATGCCTCACGCAAATTGAAAAAAACATGTATTTCACAGTTCCTCCCGGGATTATAGCACTGTAAACCTGGACTATGTGTTCGTTTGACTGATATCCACTCACTGGAACGACTTGATGGTGGTTTTGTAACAGTTAACGTGCCAGTTTAGCGAGTTAGCCACGTAGCTACGTAGCCCTCCGGAGGAAGACATTTAAAATGGCGGAGGGTTGGCCCATTCCTTCGGCCCTTGTCTTCATGCTGCTGAGTTTGAGTGCCTGGGCTCTGGAGTCTTGTCCCGCTCCCTGCTCGTGTTTAAAAGGACAAGATGAGGTCTATATTCTGGACTGCAATAGGAAAAGACTTTCGGAGGCTCCCGTGGACCCACCAGAGGGGATAACACAAGTGTGAGTACACAAGGAGTAAGAAGAAGTGTGTTGAAGTTACCCACAGCACTGGTTTGTTGCTGATCCAGGAGGCGAAACATAACATACCAAGGAAACCTGTTCAGAAGTATTTTAGGCACTTGACCATCGATATACAAGTTTCTCTGAGATTTTTCTAGTTTTAGGTCTGAGTTTAAAGCAATGCTGTCTTATTAAAAATATATCTTCTATTCATGAAGGTTTTGAGTTTTTGTTGAAACTAGGAGGTGTTAGATTATGTTATAACTTTTGAGGTCAATATTTAATTAACTTTTATTGCAATCTCTTCAAAAGAATCTCATAAATGACAAAGCTTATCTGCACTTTTTTATTACTCTTTTCTTGACCATTTATGAAGAAGTTGTATAACTAATGATGTGACTGATGCACAAGACTTTACTCTTTATGATTCAATTATCCTGCAGCAGTATTTTTTTTAAATACAATTCTAATGTTGTATTGACTCTCATTTCAGCACCATGAATCACAATGAGCTGACCGTTCTTCCTTTTCTTGGAGATGTTTCCTCAAATATCACATCGCTGTCCTTGTAAGTATAAAACCCACTTTATGTTATCTCTCCTGTTAAAACAAATGTTCTAAACAAAGCTTGCATTTCATTATGTAAAGCTTTGCCTCCTTTTATGTCATACTTTACATGAAAAGATAACTATTGGCAGTTTTAGCAAAACATTTAAAAACACAGACCTCTGTTTTGTGTAAAAGTTTGACCATTTTGGAAGACCTGCATATTTTTTGATGTAATCTTTTTATGATATATAATGTTATGTAGACAAATATACAGAAATTAAAACATTTGTAAAGCACCATTAGATATTGTCTTTACTTTGCTCGGCAACTGATATGAATAATTTCTCTTGTTAGTATAACTTTGGTATATCTTACATAATTTGTCACAATAATCAGTGGTATTGTGGCTTTCAAAAAAACGAATACCTGTCATATTGTTTTTATATTCAGAGTCCACAATCGTATCTCGGAGCTGTCGATGCATCAGCTGCAGCCGTACGTTTCCTTGGAGACTCTGGACCTGACATCCAACTCCATCACAGAGCTCAACGTTGGATCCTTCCCCTCCATGCAGCTGAAATATCTGTAAGTAATCCTCTTCATTAAAACATTGTTGTTGATCAAGTTGGGCAGGAAGGATACATTGGGCCTTTCTCATTTCTCTAATTCCCCTCCTCGACTCCTATCCTCGTGTCTTAGTCCCGCCCTCAGGAGATGCGAGTGGAGGAGTCGAGGAGGGGAACCGAGGAGAGAGGAGGGGAAGCAGCAGGCGGTTAGAGAAATGAGAACTCCTCTCCTCTGAGCGGTCATTTTAAAGAGACGTCCGTTAATGATGACAAGAGGCACAGCACGCTGGGTGTTTCTCAATGTCGAGGACGCTTGCTTGGTAGCACATGTCTTCCGAGTCACTTGCTTCAGAAGCGAGGCAAGAATCCTTCCTAGCCTCGGAAAACGAAGAATTGTGGAACAGGCTAGCAGGTGTGCGTCATATGCGAGGCCCCGCCTTAAATGGAGCGCGATTTCCGCCAAATATTTGGAAATTGGTCCGTGCGCAAAGCATTGTGGGATTTTAAGACCGCGGAGTCTACACATGTGCAGCCTCGAAATTTCTCGCTACGAAGTACGCCGGCCTCGGTAGAATTCCAAGTATGCTGGACATTGGAACAGTCCTTCGGCGGCACTTGATGACGTAGTATGCTTGAAATAGTGGCTCTGGAGCAGCCTTCCTCGACATTGAGAAACACATTGAGATGGACAGTGATGATGACTTATATATTTACTTATATATTTACTTTGAATTCATTCATAGTGCGGTATAATGAGACAATAACAGGCTACAGATGCGGACATAAATACACACACACACACATATATATTTATATAATTTCAGATTCAAACAATTATGAGAGCACTCTCATAATAACGTAACACTATCAGAGACTGGATATATCCCCCCCCCCCCTCTCTCTGGTCGCTACAATGGGGAAATATAATTCTGGGCCAAAAGTTTTATTTACAAGTATTAAAAGTAAGCATAGGACAACAAACCAACTGAGACCTGTCTCTCTGCCGCATCTACGCACACACACACTCACTGTACCACACGCACCTACACACTGTACCACACACACATCTACAGCTCCTAAAGCATATAATATATCAGGATACAGCCGTTGTGTATTTTATTAGCATACAAATAAAGAGAGTAATTTAGGCCTGTTATACTGAGTGATATATATTATACACACTGCTCTGCTTTCTGCACTGACCTCACAGCTGTTCTCACTGTAAACATCACGTCGCGATTCAAGCAGTTAATAAAATAATATCCAGGGGATGCATGCAGAGCTGTCATTGGCTGAGATAAGTCCGGCCGTGCGTCACGACTCTTTTAAACATCTCTGTTGCCGGAAATACATCCGCGGAAAATCCGCGGAGGACCCGTCAGTGTATCCTCGATTATAGCTCCTCCAGAGAGCCTGCTCGATCCTCGGTCCTCGAAGTGCATTTAGAGAAATTAGATGTCCTTCAACATGGCGCGCTGAAATCCATTTCCGGGTCACTACCGGAGGACCGAGGAGTCGAGGAGGGAAAATTAGAGAAATAAGAAAGGCCCATTGTCTACCTGGATGGCTGTACAATAAAAGTGTAAAGTAAAGTTAGAAAAACCTAGAAAGCAGAGATTTCATACACCTGCCAAGGCTGATTAATATTGCACACATATTTTATTTTAATAATATAATATATATATATATATATATATATATATAAACATAAACATATTGGATCCAAACTGTTGTTATGACAAAAACTGTTGTTGTAACTCTAAACCAGTTTACAATTGTAGAGTGGTATAACGAGGGAGATCAGGCTTCACAGAAACAACAGTGAGATGATTTCATTTAAGGCTTTACAGAGAATTAGAGAGCACATATTATATACAAAAACGCTGGTGAAAACAGAACACGCATACACTTTGTTTTGATCGGTTGCTAGTTAGTAAGGAAGCATCCTTTTGTATCTGGATGTTGACATACAACAGATGTATATACAGAGCAAACAGTCCTCTCCTTGCTGATTCTGGATCTAATGTGTTTGCACTTTTATCTCAAAGGAATTTGAGTAATAACAGGATCAGCGTCCTCGAGCCTGGTTGCTTTGAAAACATCTCCAGCTCCCTGCTGGTGCTGAAGCTGAACAGGAACCGATTGGCTATGCTGCCATCCAAAGTCTTCAAACTTCCACTGCTTCAGTTCCTGTAAGTATCGCACAATGTGTTTTGGTGCAACATTCAAATGATTTGTCAATCTGATAGTTGATAGTAGCTTGCTGAAATTACTGCAAATCCAAACAACAATAATCCATTGGCTCTTGTTTGTTTCGTAAAACTCTACTTGGCTAAAGGAATCTGCTTCTTCCTCTCATTGTAGTGAACTGAAGCGTAACAAGATCAAGATAGTGGACAGTCTGACTTTCAAAGGGATGGACTCACTGAAGTCACTGAAGATGCAGAGGAACAGCATCACCAAGCTCATGGATGGAGCCTTTTTTGGACTTAACAACATTGAAGAACTGTGAGTACAATAAACAGTGTACATCTTCAATTGTGGAAGAATCAAATGTAAAACTTAAAATAGATATATTGGTCTGTAAATGCAAAAGGTGAATTTTGTCGGGGAAAACACATTTAAGGAGAAAACCTCACAATTTACAAAAGATCGCACACTGTATTAAAAGCTTCCGCCAATTTTACATAAGATGTATCAAATTGGGAATGTGCAATGTTTTGAGATAACAGAGATTTGCCGCACCGTGAGCATCATTAACATCCACATGGATCCATCTTTTCTTTCTTTTTTTATATTTGATCACATTATCATTTTTATCATTTGGATTATCTGTGTTATACATTTGTTTACCTTTTACATTTTCACACAACATTTATTGCTCTTCTGTCCAACCTGGGAGACGGATCCCACTGTGGATCTCCCAGATGTTTCTTACATTTTATACCCATTAATTGTGGAGTTACTATGGGAGTTTTCTCTTGTCCTCTGCTATAAATGTGCCACTTCATTTGATTGATTGAGGTTTGTCAGGCACTGTCAAAACCTCATCACAAAGCAGAAACACATTTTTGTTAGCCATGATAAATCTGGCATATTTGCCCATAAATAAAAAGGATTTATGTAAATACAGTTCTTTGTGCTAATGCCATTTTGTTTTTCCCATCTGCGTCTCAGAGAGCTGGAGCACAACAACCTCACGGAGGTCAACAAAGGCTGGCTGTATGGACTGCGCATGCTGCGTATCCTGCGGGTCAGCCAGAATACTGTCGGCATCATCCGACCAGACGCCTGGGAGTTCTGCCAAAAGCTGGAGGAACTGTGAGTGTGTTTGCTTCAGAGCTAAAATCCCCACGCAGCTAAGAGTCCCCACTTTCTTTCATCAGCCCTGGGCTCTGAAATTAATTCTGTGTGCTCAGAGGACTTACTGTTATCTTGCTGCCAGTTGCTGTCTGAAGCTGATTTAGTGCCGTCTTGCCTCCGGTGGATGTACTCAATCGTGAAATTGTGTCGCATCATTCTCGAATTTGAAGTAACATTATTATTAAATATAGATGATATAAGGGGTAAAAACTGTTGTTTAAATTGTTGCTTTAAATAATATTTCTCATATTTATGGTTGTTTTGCACAGAGACCTGTCCTTCAATCATCTGACTCGACTTGAGGAGACAGCTTTCGTGGGATTAGGTCTCCTGGACAGCCTGAATCTCGGGGAAAACTCCATCAGCCATTTGGGAGAGGGAGTGTTCAGCGGCCTGACGAGTCTGCGCACCCTGTAAGTTCTACGCCTCAAATAAATCTGTGTCTTTTTAAAGCTGATCTAACAAGTGTTATTAGGCGCATTGTGTAAAATCTAACCCTCCTGACATGTTCTTGGCTCTTTGCATTCTCATGAAGGCCGCTGACTACAGTAGGTCTGCGTTTGTTTCACTCTCCATGTGTAGCTCTAGTCCTGTATTAAATACATTTCCCTAGTTATCCTTAGTAGTTTAGAGACACAAAAGTAGAACAGTATTTTGAGTTCTTGCATTCTGGTCCTGCTTGTCATTAGTCATATGTTTAGTCTTATAAATGTGTCCTTTTCTCTTGGTTTTATGGCATCTGTGCTGCCATTCACTGTGGGTAACTTGTATGCAAACACAACAAACTGACAAATATTTGAGGTAACATAATGTTAGTGCTGAGTCCATGTGAACCATATACTGTAGCAGAAGTGAGAGTAGACTTTTCTCCACATTGCAGCTTAACCAGAGGCCGATAGATGAAGGGTAATATAATATTTTGTCAGTATATGTAGAGAGATATTGCCTGGTCCAGGATTTAAGTTGGTTTGCTTTTAAATATTTCATACAGTAGAGATGAATAATATCAACACATTATATGCTCAATATTTCAGTGTCTACTGAGCATATCAACAAATATCTCTGCAGCCTGGTTTTGAAATCTTCTTTCTTGACTGATGACTACCATTAATCCTACTGCACTGCTCCGTTTATAAATAACATTGGAGTTATCTGTTAGAAAAGGCCCTCTTATATTAATGCAGCAAATATCAGTTCCAATATTGGGTTGAATGTACGGCTGCACAATTTGGAAAAAATAACTCTTGCGATTATTTGACTGATATTGAAAATATATTTATTTTACATTATTATTCTCATTATCATTAAAACATATATTAATTGGATCTGTCTGTAGTAAATGATTTCTAGGTTGGTATATCTCTGAAGCTCCACAATACTTCATTCAAAATAGTATTTTTACACATATTTATTGGAATATTGCACTAGTCCATAGTGCAATATTCATTACAGTTTTGATTAATTGTGCAGCTCTATTCGACAGTGGTATAAATCTGCTTCCTTTATCCGCTTTGGATCTTTACCATCCGGGGAGCTTTCATGGGAGAGGGGCATCACAGAGTACTGAAGTTCTTTCAGAGGTGGCCAGGCATGAGGAAATAGAAACAAAAGAGCCCATGACCCATCCTGTAAACACAACGTCTCTCTGTGTTTCCAGCGGACCCATGAACTGTCCCAGCGCTAAACAGAGCCAATTAATTTCCCCACATCAGAACGGCAGTGAGCTGTGACACACTGTGGAAGCATGGAGTCTCAGATTGTTAGTCCTCTAGCTGAGTCATTGCCACTGACAACCACAGTGGAGACTTTAAACTCTCTGTGGTGTTCCAGGAGGAGCCCTCGCATCTAAAGTGTTTTAACATCTAAAATGACTCTTTTTCTTTCAGTGATATCCGCAATAATGAAATCTCCTGGGCCATAGAAGACTCCATTGGTGTGTTTGTTGGGATGAAGAAGCTGAACACACTGTAAGGATGCTCAGATTATACACGTATCAAAGCAATTTTTATTTAAAACACATTTTATTGCATTTAGACAAATAAAGCATGTGCATCTTAAATTATTTCAATCAGGAAAGACTTCATTTTGTTTAAAGAACATTTATTGACACATGCCATATGATAAATGTTAAGTCTTTGGCGATTAGACCCCGATCCTGAAATCGTATATATCTAAAGGGGGGATGCAGCCGTGAGCATAGGGAACCCCCCGGTGTCTAGACACTGGTGATGATGCTGAAGATCTGGATTTGAAGAGGAGATGGGATGAAGAGGAGGTGTGATGAGGTCTTTGGATTAGCTCTCCTGGAACTGGATGTGATGAAAGGAGGTGGATGGGGAGGAGGCGGGCGGCAGCATGAACACCTGAAATCACAGCTGACTGCAGGAGAGAGGAGAACCATTTTAAAGTTTGGCTGCAGCACGATGATTGGCTGCTGAGATTGAGTTGAATGTAATAGGTTAGCAGGAAGCTGTGATGAGCTGATTATAAGCAGCTGCGGATTGAATGTATACCAGTCTTCCTGACAGAACTTGCGCTGAGCTTCATTTCAATCAGGAGGGACTTCATTTTATTTAAAGAACATTTATTGACACATGCCATATGATAAATGTTAAGTCTTTGGCGATTAGACCCCGATCCTGAAAACGTATATCTGATGCAGCCGTGAGCATAGGGAACCCCCAAAAAGGAGGAAAGTGGATGAAAGATTAAGATCGGACCACTTGACGAAGGATTTTACCTTACCAGGTGGCATGGATTCTGCTGAGACATGATTGAGGATTTAGACCGAGATTTATGCAGTGAGGCAGAAATGTATATGAATGATATAGATAAGGAGCCTGACTGCGGCCGGGGATGAACTAGGAAAAGAGGAACCCCCAACTAACGAATGATGATGAATGATGCAATGCAATGAATCATTACGATAATATCCGTGAGTGATATGATAGTAGTGCTGCTCTGAATGTGGGCATGTACTTACCTTACGTGATGCAACGGGTCTAAACTGGGAAGCAAGCAAGAGTTAGACAGGAATGTGCGGGGAGAGAGAAGGAAAATAGGATAGGGTGAGCGGAGAGAGAAGGAAAATAGAATGGGGTGAGCTGTGCTCCCTGTGATACTGACTATTGCATGGAGCAAGACTTCTGATGGCTCAGACAGTCTGCTGGCTATTGCAAGACTTCTGATCGCTCACGCAGTCTGCTGACTATTGCATGGAGCAGGACTTCTGATCGCTCACGCAGTCTGCTGACTATTGCATGGAGCAGGACTTCTGATCGCTCTGTCTGCTGGGATAAGTGAGAGAGGCATAGCATGTGGTAAAACATTATCTTAGAAGGATGTGATACACCACCACCAGTTATATGCATAGCTTACCGTAGGAGTTTTAAGAGTTTTTGATTAGCCAGTACGGTGCGGATATCGGGTCGGATAGGGCATGCGTGTGGTTACACGCATAAGGGCAGAATAAGCAATCATTATAAAACAGAGAATGAACAGGACAGGGATACAATTAGATGAAACTGTTCTGGCGAAGTGCTGATTAATGAATAATGTAATGCAATGAAGGTATTCTGCAGATGATTAAAATGTGAGCTGAGTGAGTGACTCATTGCTGTGAGAGACATACGCTGCAAGACTACATTGAGCAGGAGTTGTTTATATTGCATGCATTCCTTATGCTTGACGGAAAAGTGTGCACTGAGACAATGAGGTCTGCTATTGAACTACCAGATAGAGGGGATCGTATGATCATAAAAGCAAGCACGGTTTGCACCACCACCAGTTATATGCATGAAAGTATGAAGGACAACCTGTGCATTCTTTCTTTCTTTTATATTTATTCATTTTTTAAATATAATTATTTTATCCGGACTGCCCCAACCCATAAAGGGGGGGCCGAGATACGAATCTGATGAGACACGGAGGCGATCATGCCTAAACGTGCTGTGAACACGGATAAACGTCACTTATCTGCTGGTTGAATTTCCTGGGAGGGATTGAATGCGGCGTAGAGGGCCTGCTCGCGGTCGGCTTGTGCGTAATGCCACTTCGGTGTTCGCGGATCAGCTGATCAAGGGGCCTCGACTCCGTTCTGATACCGGATCGGCTTGTTCGCTTATGCCGAGACGGCCGGACGTACCCGTGTTTCTGCTGATGGAGGTCTTCTCCTCTCGCTCTTGCTTGATATCTGCTACGAGGATCTGAAACGGGTGTGAACACCTGAAATCACAGCTGACTGCAGGAGAGAGGAGAACCGTTTTAAAGTTTGGCTGCAGCACGATGATTGGCTGCTGAGATTGAGGTGAATGTAATAGGTTAGCAGGAAGCCCGTGATGAGCTGATTATAAGCAGCTGCGGAGTGAATGTATACCAGTCTTCCTGAAAGAACTTGCGCTGAGCTTCATTTGGCAGTGTTGCAGAGATTTTAGTCATTTTGTAAATGTTCCCTGATGATAATGAGAAGCTTCATTCACAAAAACATCTGTTTGTGCTTGTCAGGTTTTATTGTGCTGTGAAATAGTTCCTCAAGCTTAATCTAACTTTCATTGAAAAGCTTTTCTGATTTCTGAATTTAGCCGTAAAGAAAGCTGCTTACACAGGAGTTCCAGTATGCAATAAATATTACCCAGGAGCATCACATTAAATATTTTTGCTTTTTTCAGAATAATACAGCGGAACAAAATCAAATCAATCACCAAGAAAGCGTTTGAGGGCCTGGATGAGCTGGAACATCTGTAAGTAACGCCACACCTGTTTCTCATCACTGTTATAATCTCAGTTATTGTTGAATGATAACAGAGCGCACAATGCTTTATTTTCCCACACTATTCTGTCGTTGCTTACTTTTGCTTGTGAAATGGGATGCCATTTTGATAGAAACACATCGTACTTGTGTCTAATCCATATTTCTGTCCGCTCTGCAGGGACCTGAGCAAGAACGGCATCATGTCGATACACCCCGAGGCGATGTCCCATATGAAGCTCAAAGAGTTGTGAGTAGACTCTAAATTTATCCAACAACTCTCATAAACCCATTTGGAGGCCAGCTTCCTTGTGTTATTTGTTCTTGGACTGATTTAGAAATATTGCTTTCATTAAAAGGGAATTATAATCAGGGCTGCACATAACTGGTGCGCAGGTGCGCATGCGCACCCCCCGCCAAAAAAGAGCACCGGATCATTTGAAAAAAGGCGCATTTGCGCACCGAGAGAGAAAGGAGAGATAGAGAAGAGAGAGAGAGAGAGATATTTGCGAGTTGCATAAGAACTGGTAAGATAGCAGGGTTTCCCACACATAGACTTTACTTGGGCGGGCCGCCCAGGTATATTAACGGCCACCAAAGTATAATTTGCAAGCCATTTAGGTTCCATTTTTTTAATCCGTCCGTGAGCACCACGGCATCTGCGATCCCTCGCTATCGCGTGAAGGGTCTGCTTTATGCGCTCCGCACAGTAACCCTGCTGCGAGGCTTAATGAGCGTGCTCACTAGCGCACCTCCCCCCCCCCCCCCCCTGTTCATAATGTCAAGTACCCCTCAAAAGGTCCGGTTTATTTCATGTTAAGGATGCGCACCAAGCAACATCTCCAGGTGCTCCTTTGAGAACCAGGGCAAAAAAGTTATGTGCACCCCTGATTATAATGATTTAGTTGTACTGCAATTAAAAGACATAATAAAGCATTTTAATTGCCATTATTTAATTGTGTGAAAAAGTGTGGACCTCGTAACTTAAAGGGGACCTATCATGCAAAATGCACTTTTGTACGTCTTTTCTACATGAATATGTGTCCCCGGTGTTCCAGGGAACTCACCAAGTGTCAGAAAACACAACCCTCTCTATTTTCCTCCATACCCAAATCTCTAAAAAAGGGGCTGCAACGGATCTGATAAAAACTGATCCAGATCTGAACACTGTCCTGACGTCAGGACGGTGGCACTACGGCTATTGGGCCAACTCCACCAATCAGGAGGAGACAGCCACGGCCATTGCTGTTCGAAAGCGCTGGAGACGCTGTAGTACATATGCCAGGCCAGTAGATGGTGCTGTTCTCACAGAATCAGCCCTTGCTAAAACAGAGCTAACATTTTTCAAGTTGAGCGAAATGAGGCATGGCTAAAATGCATGATCTGTTTGGTATTTTGAAAAAAAAAAAGTATAAATATGCCTTATATAGGTATGGTCCTACACTATATTATTCAAATATAGCATGATAGGTCCACTTTAAGTAATAAATATATTGGAGCTACTTTACCTTTGAGCTTTTCACCACATTTTTGGCTTTAAATACATGTGATGCCATTTTTCATTTAACAGAATGTCATTTATTAATTATTTTTTTGAGTAAAACCCTACAATTTCAGACTCGATTGGACACGCAAAGATATTTGATCCAGCTTTTATGATGCAGCATCATCATCTGCTCCATAATGACAGCTGGGCTGTGTAAATGTTTTGTCTTTTGCCTTTTTTTGATGTTTTTATAAGCCCATTTTAGGAGTTTATCTTAGCCCCAGTAGCCGTCAAACTCATACACTCAAATGATTCAATCCATTTTATAATTTTCTCTACTGAAGTTTGGTGATTCAAACAAATTTTACAATGCCTCCTCTTACGCTTCCTCTATTTGTTTCTGTCCTCAGTGTCCTGAACACCAGCAGCCTGCTGTGTGACTGCCACATGCAGTGGCTGGGGCCGTGGCTGACTGAGAACAGCTTCCTCCAGTCTGTGTCTGCCGTCTGCGCTCATCCTGCCAGCCTACTCGCTCACAACGTCCTGTCTATCGGCCCGCAAGAGTTTGTTTGTGGTCAGTTCCTCTTCTCTTTTCTTTCTTTTTTTTTCTAAACTGAACCTAGTTTGATACAATTTGATTACTCTTCAATCGACACAGTGGAAAATATTTGTCGTTGTAAGCTAGGAAAGGATATTGAGTATCTCTTTGGATAGATACAATATATATTTTACAATTATTTCACTGTAGAAGTTGTGTTCATAATCTTAATTTCCTCTGTAATCGGTCCGTAAAGCTATGGCAAACGTTTTTTGGTCCTAAATGACACAACGTCTGACAACCATTTTCCCTGTTCTGTATTGGAACATTTAATTTGAACACCAACTACAATCTTACATTTTATTTAAGCAGTGTTCTGTAAAAAAAAGAAGGATTTTCTATTTAAAAAAAGCAGAGTTTCACACTTGCTATCCTTGCTCCTCGCTCCTCCACAGATGATTTCCCAAAGCCCCGGATCACAACTCATCCCGAGACGTATGAGGCGCTGCGGGGGAACAACGTGACTCTGAGCTGCGTGGCGTCCAGCAGCAGCGATTCACCGATGACCACGGCTTGGCGGAAGGATGGGGAGGTGCTGTATGACGCAGAGGTGCAAAACTACGCCCGGTACCAGCAGGGAGAGCTGATCTACACCACCGTGCTCCACCTGCTCAATGCCAACTTCACTGACGAGGGCCGCTACCAGTGTGTGGTCTCCAATCACTTCGGCTCCAACTACTCCAACAGGGCCAAGCTTACTGTCAATGGTGAGGACGTTTGCCCTTTCAGAATGTCATGTTTTGCGTTTTCTTATCTTGCTCTGCAGTAAAAGGTTAAAGGTGTCCTATCATGCAAAATGCACTTTTTGATGTCTTTTATACATAAATATGTGTCCCCGGTGTGTCAGGGAACTCACAAAGTGTCAGAAAATAAAACCCTCTCTTTTCCTCCATACCCAAATCTCTAAAAACGGGGATACAACGGAGCTGATCCAGATTTGCGTCCGACGTAATATCGGAAATGTGGGCTGGCTTTACACCCACGGTCCTATCAGAAAAGTCGCTATCAGAAACAATGCGTTTTGGATGTAATATGGTCTTTGTTTACATTAGGAAGCATCGCTAACACTCAGAGCTAAGCTGTACTGGAGAGAGTATGTGTAAAAAAGCAGGAAATAGAAAAAGGAACTCGCCTTGTTGTAAACCCGCAAGGAAAAAAAGCATTTGAGCTCCATACTGTTTCAGAAATAATCGTTGAACTCACTGCTTGCCTATGTGCTCAAAAGGGGGCGGGGCCAGCAGCATCAGTCACAGAATCAGCCATTGTCTAAGAGGGCTGAAATAGAGGGATATGAGGGATGTCTAAAAGGCAAGATCTGTTTGGTATTTTGAGCAAAACACATCATAGACATGTTTTTTATATATCTGAGACCCATAATATATGCCTAAAAATAGCATGATAGGAGATCTTTAAGCTATAACTGGCTGGTTCTAGTACTGGTCATCTGTGCATCCCCTGACTTTATATCCTCTTATCTTTCAGAGCTGCCATCCTTCCTGAAGACTCCCATGGATCTGACAATACGCACAGGGACTATGGCCAGGCTGGAGTGTGCTGCTGAAGGCCATCCATCACCCCAGATTGCCTGGAAGAAGGACGGAGGCACGGACTTCCCCGCCGCCCGGGAGCGCAGGATGCACGTGATGCCCGATGACGACATCTTCTTCATCGCTAACGTGAAGACTGAAGACATGGGAGTGTACAGCTGCACGGCTCAAAATGCAGCCGGCAGTCTGTCTGCAAACGCAACTCTCACCGTCCTGGGTGAGTCACATGATCAACAGTGCAAATTACTGATGTTTTTTTCTACTGGGTCATTTCAGCTGAGTCACTGCGCTCAAATTGGCTGCTCATTTGTGTCTGTGAAATCATAACACATGTTCTGTTTTTGTGTCTTCTGCCATTTGAACTAATGTTGATCTAAATGCAAACGTTATTATACAATCGTCTACTTGCCAGCACTGTGAACTCGGAAATGTTTTGGGTACCCCAACGTTTTATATGATTACAAACTGCCGGAAGTTAACTCGCATAGACTGGGCAATTTCACTCGATTAGCATAAATTAATTAGCATTATAGCTTATGCAGACAATAGTTAAAAGATTGTTTGGCCGAATTGGACAATTTTGAATTGGTTTTGGGGGTAATGAGGATTCCAAATGTATTTCTGTCATTTTCAGGATCAACAATGGCAATTTTAAGTGGTCATAATTTGTACTCTCGGTTGGCTGATTTTGACTACCATGAGTAGTTTTGCGACCATTGGATATAGAGAGCACCAGAGGAAAATGATTATCTCTACTGTGGACACTTGTTTTCAAATAAATAAGCAATCGGTTCAATCCAAATGATCCAGAAAAGGTCAGAAATGGGTTCAGCCTCCTCAATAATCCCCACAACCAATCTTAATGAATGCTGATTAACACAAATTATGCTATATGTGCAAATTGCACCAGGCTGTTTCTATGTGCTTGGGACCCATACTATACATTTGTAATATAAAACGTTGGGGTACTTACCATTTCCGGGTTCACAACAGGACTCTATGAGCTTGCAACTTCCCTACCATGTCCACAGAGAACTGAAATGTGTCTAGATGATATAATAACTGCTTCTGAGACTTTATTTAGCCTTATGCTGAGTCAACGAGCAGTTTTGCCATCAAGGCTAGTACTAAGAAACATTTTCTCATTATAATAAACTTGAGCCCATAGACATCCAACAAAACCATTTGTCATAAATGCCACTGGGATAATAAAAACATCTATTAATTCTCTTCTCTTCCAGAAACTCCATCCTTCATGCGGCCTCTGGAAGACAGAACCGTGGCCCGCGGTGAAACGGCCGTTCTCCAGTGTATCGCCGGAGGCAGCCCGGCCCCTCGTCTCAACTGGACCAAAGACGACGGGCCCCTGGTGCTCACCGAGCGCCACTTCTTTGCTGCAGCCAACCAGCTCCTCATCATAGTGGACGCTGGTCCTGCTGATGCTGGGAAATACACCTGCATCATGTCGAATACTCTGGGAACGGAACGTGGACACATCTACCTCGGCGTGTCCCCGTCACCAAACTGTGACACCGGCACCGGGTACGACCAGGACGGCTGGACCACCGTGGGCATCGTGGTGATCGTGGTGGTGTGCTGTGTGGTGGGCACCTCGCTGGTCTGGGTCATTGTCATCTATCACATGCGCAGGAAAAGCGAGGACTACAGTATCAGCAACACAGGTGAGCAGTTTAGACATTTGTGGTATCAAATAAATGAGCCTTATTTGGAGAGTTACAGAATAATGGTGGCGGTTTGAAAACCATGAAATGTGTCTTTGGGGACGCATCTTTGTTGTGGGGATAAGACTGTTTCACAGAACTCAATACCGTGTAACAAAATGTGTCTCCGTCTGTTCCAGATGAGATGAATTTGCCAGCAGACATCCCCAGCTACCTGTCTTCCCAGGGAACTCTGTCAGAGCCGCAGGAAGGCTACAGTAACTCTGAGGCCGGCAGCCACCAGCAGCTCATGCCTCCGCTCTCCAACGGATACGTCCATAAGGGCACAGATGGTGAGAAATCTGCCTTTAGATATGGGGTTTTGAAGATATTGGACTCTGTAACAAAAATATTTAGTCTCAGAAACATGGTTGAGGCCCCTTTTTGTTTTCTCACGTTTAGAAATATTCATTTTGTGAAATCTTTAACAAGCTGTGTTTGTCTGCATAAGATAATTATGGCATTCCCTTGGCGTAACATGTTTGTTTTTCTTGCTGCACACAAAATTACAAAAATCTAGTGTTTATTAATTGAATAAATAAATTCATATTGTGAAAATATTGTGATGATGTGAACTAATTACTCCAAATAAATGCAGAGTTTTAGGAATACTTCAGACAAATAAGACACACTTTATTTTGTATTGGATTTGAGTGTTTTTGTCTATTTTATATAAATAAATAGTAATCATCATTGAACTGTACGCACAAGATAGTTTCTTTTATCTATGTTGTATGGTTAAAATATGATTGTGAAAACAAATGTTATTTCAACATCACAAAGCTAACAAAATAGTTTATCTGAAATCAAACACATTAGGATGCACCACCGCCTCCTGCTGTCTGTGAGAGTCATGAAATGACGTGAAAAACTAATTGATCTAATTTCTTCATATATATATAATGTCTTTGGCCGGCTTCTTGGATTGTCTCTTCAGGATACAAAGGTTTTCTTCTTGCAGCCATTAGGTTTTTGCTTTAGTGTTCCAGATCAGATCCCTGCTGAAATGAGACACTGACTAATTATCATGTGTGTCCCAGGTGTGTGTTATGGGGACACAGGCAGTGAGGTGGAGACAGAGGGGAGCGGCATGCTGCACTGCAGGGTCGGCTCTCTGTTCACCGGCCGCAGCAGCTTCCACCCCGGAGAGCCCCGCGAGGGCCTGGCCGGACACCCAGCAGGTGAGGGGCGTCCGCCCGCATGCAGCTTCTGTTTGTATTTATTATTAACAGATTCATTTTTTAATTTTGTCCTGCATGCCAAGTGTTCACAAATTACAAACTATGCCTTTAAACTGGTATTTATGTAGATGCATTCATATTAAGGTGTAATAAGGTCTTTTCATATACATTGATATATTTTAATTTAGATACCATATTTGAACTGATTTAAATACAAAGCAAAATGCAAAGTACTATAAATAATCAGGACAAGATGCTAATAGCGGTATGAGCTGAGATGCATTTGATGATCGACACAACTAAGCCACGAGAAAAGTGGATTTTATAATTATAAACTAAATTATGTGGCATCTCTTATACAAAAGAAACGGCTTGAATAGCTTTTACAAAACACAAAAAGGGAAAAGCAGACAATTAGACAATAATTCATTTGTAAATTACTTACAAAACAGTTACATCATGTTTAAGTATGTTTTCTGTGCAATTAACATAGTTAATGAAGTGATTAACAAGAAGTGTACTTGAAATGCCTTTTCACTGCCACAGCTAGCATGCAATCTCAAAGGAAGAATCTCAAAATGACGCAAAAGTCATGTACAGACTTTAAAAACGACCACATGGAAAGTAACACTTGCTAATTATTTCTCACCAGGTGGCGCAGGTCCGCTTGTCATCTGCTCCGACTGCTACGACAACGCCAACATCTACTCTCGCACACGGGAGTACTGTCCCTACGCCTACCTGGGGGAGGACGACCCGCTGGACAAATCCATACCGGGCCTGAAGGAAAGCTTCGGTGAGCATGCTCAGCACGACGCCACGCCACTGGAGAGCCTCATTAGCAACCACGACTCCTCCATCTTTCTCACCCCACACGACAAAAGGCTGAGCAGCCACACTCCCCCGGAGCACTACGCTAATGGTGAGAGTTGGAAATGTTACCTATTAGAGCGAGGTGGTGAAACCATCCTTAATCTAGCTGACAACTATCATGTCCTACCTGCTGAAGTGTTTTTTGATAACACGGTGAATTTCCACCCTCCTGCAGCTACTGAAGAAAGAACATGTTCTCTCTTTTCTGGGGCTGTTATACAGATTGCAGGCACTCGGGAGAGTTGGCTCTTGGCTTGCTTTCATATACAGTTTACTGAAGCCATTATTTTATATATGAGAGATGTCACACTTAAAGGTGGGGTATGTCATTTATTTCAAAAACACTTGTTATATTCCATGGAATGCTCTTAACATCCCGATAGCAATGAATATATTAAATGCTTTGACAATAAATACATACAAAAAATGTCATCTGTGGAAGCCGTAGTACTGTAAAAAGCACGACCAATCATTTTAGCCGGCCCGGCTAAAGTAACTGGATGGCCTACCTGCCTGTCAGCCTTCCATCTGTGCACAAACTTATCTCGTGCCCTCATTGGTCATGTGCGCGTTCGTGTTGGAGGAGGGGCTCTGTAAGGAAGTGGCAGATTTTTTCCGGTTGTGTATTTTCAAATTCTAGCGATCTCGAGCTGGTTTCTCCAAAATGACTTACCCCACCTTTAAGTAAGATTGTGTTTATTAGGGATATGGATCTTCCAGATATGATCTATTTAGATTTATGGAGCAGCTCGCAGGCTAGAGCTAACTTTATATTCCCTATGGAGGTTAGTTGTAAAAAAAAACGGTGTTAAGTCAGCTTGGCTAACTTCACGTGACCAAACTCAAAACAAGCTTCTTAAATGGAGTTTACCAATAATGCAAAAAGGGAAAAGTATATGTTTTTTTAAGTGTTAAGGAACCTCTCCAAATTGCTTGTTTTGTCTAACCAACACTTCCAAATCTCAAGCCTTTCGAATATCATGAATATAAATAATCTAAACCTACAAATCCTCACACTTAAGAAGCTAAAACCAGATTATATTTGGAAATATTGCATGAATCATTACTTAATCAGTGATAGTTAACAAATCAGCTAGAGGGAGATAATATGTTGGCATCTAACGTCGGTTTACTCGTTTTGCAGATTCTCTCAGCAGGTCCTTCTGGGGAGAAGGGGAAGATCCGTCTTTGAGAGCCCCACCAGGCACGTCCCCTCATCCGGTGACGGTGCACCGGACCCCCCCCCTGGCTGCCGACGGGCCGGAGGAACAGAGGGAGGCAGAATCGGACTGTTTTCCCAGCCAATCTACACAGGACCACAGAAGTGCCTCTAATAGGACTAACCCTCAGGAGCACGCTGCTCCCTCATAGGTCCTTACACTCCGCCCACGCTCTGCCTCTGACTCCTCGTTGATGCAACCCCCCCCCCCCTTCACCCTCTACCTCCAAAGAGACTCCTCACATTCTGCCAAAGATGCTCTCTTGTATGTTTACATTCCCTTTTTTTCCACTCGAGAGGACATATTAACGTTCTCCAGCGTGGAGAGACTGATGTGTCATGCTGGAGAAATGGACCAGTGATTTAAATTGACCGTCTCCTCGACACCTCCACCTCTGCAGGAACCTTTCCTCACACATCTTCCACTCTTCTTTGTTCTCTTTCTAGAGAAGGCGATGAATGTATGCTTCAAAGAGCCATGTCGGGCGCTGCCATGACAGAACGCCAAGACATGGTTCAGTCTTAACAAGCTCTCGCTCCTTGGGCCATGCTGCTGGGGGGGGGGGGGGGGGGGGGGCTGAAGTGTTGTGCCCGTCACACTGGCAGTGTTCTCTCATCATTCCCGGTACAGAAAGCAGTTGGAGCAGCCTTTACGACTTTGTGAAAAATGACAAAACCACCGATTCCCAAGTGGGTAAAAAGGGGACGAGTGTAGTTCCCTGACCAGCAGTTTGTGGTTGTTGAAAGAACATTAAAGATGCGTCCCACATTCCCGCAGTCATCCCAACTGACTCAAAACTATGCTATCTGGTATCTTCTTATGCAAAACCCAGAGACAGTGACACCAAAATGTGGTGTATATTATAAATATATATGAATATATCCTATATCATCTTTATCTGATCTTGTTTTCGTCCTATGATGATTCCTTCATTTGATGTCTTTGTAATAATAAGCTGTTTGGGGAGAAAGCGTACAATTTCCTTTGCACATGTGACAATCCTGGCTATTTCCTCATGTTTGTCTCTCTGATGGCCTTCAACAAGCATTCTCAGTGACCTCGATCAGGTGACACGACGGCTTCTACACACAGTATGCACTGATTTCCCTTTATCATACCTTACAGGCACTTAATTGAATGGAGGTAGACGTCATTATGCAGTCTGCATGCTGTTTTACATTGTGAGGATTCATCGCCACAAAGTGATCCTTCCGTAGATTTATTTAGCCTAGGTTTTCACTCTGGACTGTGAAAAATGAGAATGTATTCTGTTATTTTCTACATGTATGTCTGTATGTCTACATAAGGCTAGTTATCTATTAAATTCCATGTCCTACTAGTTCATTTGCAAGGAGGTTGGAGACATAAGCTGCAGTATCTTTAAGCTTATTCATTGTATGCCTTTTATTGACCCTGTGTGCAGGTAACACAATGAACACATGTTCTCTGGAAATGGATGTTATTTTCCTCCCAGCTGAGAGTAATCAAACAGCCAGCTTCAGAAGACTGTACTGTTTCAGATGTCAGATATTAAATTGCTTTGACAATGCCTTTCATTACAGTAGAAGAGCGTGGCTTTGCTTAATCACGTTTGTTGTCATGAGGTCATGAGTTTTCCTTTAAATCCTCTAGATTATTGCACTTCAGTATTGCTCCGATGGGATTGACTTTGGCCTTGTATGTGACTCTAAAACTCATATTTGGTCAATTTAATTTGCCAATTATACTCTGTTGACAGTTTACTAGGAAAATCCAACTAAAATCAATGCTGTCTGATACAGCAGTCCTGCAATAAATCCAACCTTTTATAACGTTTTTTTCTTTTTGTTAGTGATCTAAAGGTTTTGATTCTTTTCATTACAGTGGATGTAGCTTGTGGAACTCTATTGAGTTATACTGACAGGGCTTTTTTGTCTGTGAAAAGAAGAAAAACGTAATTGTATTATCAATACAGGAATTATTGCCTGGCTGTAAGACTACATTTGTTTTAGCTAAGCGTACCTTAAAACTGCCAACTGAGTGTATATTGTAGTCATTCTCTGTGAATATAATGTCTGACAAACCCATTTGTTTTTGTTATCTCTGCCATGTTAATAATCAGTACTGCAACATACTGCTCTTGAAATTTGTGACCAAGAAAATATTTGTCATCTCCTCTTCTCCCTCTTTTGTAGACGCACACTTCAAGGGTACTAAATCAAAGATGCTGAAAATGTAATCTTCTTATTGTTACTGTTCATATTGATTACGTTATGTGTCGGTACATCCGAGTGGTACGTGCAGATATGAATGATTCACTCTTGCACTCTTATTTTGACACACTCCCTGCTTCAATGCTTTTTGTCGTCTTGATGTTTTCTGACTGTTGGCCAAGGTCAACCTCGTGCCCCCTTTTAGAAAGATTGAGAAATTCAAATGAAAACTCGCAGTGATAAGTCATCCGAATGGAGCTACATGTCGCTGGGGCGTTTAGCGATTTTCCGTTCAATATTTTCTGCCAACACAGCACAACATAACGTGCATATGTATTGCTTTTATTCTCTGGTCGACCTTTATTACTTTATACCAAAGTTAAGTAGTACCTGCTCTGGCGATATCCAATGCTGCTTTTTGTTTTTTTAAATTGTTGAAGTTTTGCATTTTGTTTGTAATAGTATTTTTGGACCTTTGTTAACTTGTACATTCTGTAAAGCATGTCTAAAGAGCCTTTTTGTTACGTAGCCATTACTCTGACATTAAACATGAATTCTGATGATTTGGTTTGGATCGTGAATGTCTGCCTCAACACTCCTCTCGGTTCCTACAGTCACTTCCTTTATCCAATATGCTGTTGATTATTTTCTTGGTTGCTTTCCACTTGAGAGGAAAAAGCTCATCACAATTACCCAGAGTCCATGGAGACACATTTGAAGTGTTTGTCCAAAGCTCAAAGATATTGATTTTACAATGATATATACAGGCTTGGGAGGGTACATTTAAAAACGTATTAAGTTACAATTACTACTTACCTGTATTTAAATGTAATCAGTAACTTAATCTGAAACTATAGAACTAATATAACCTGATTACTTTCCGTTACTTTTGGATTACCTCAATAAAATGCAATGGAAGTATAGAGAAAATAAATGACGAGATGTTTTTTACTATTTAATGTGTCCTCTGCAAAGTGATTTAATCAACAGGAAAAACTGCCTTGTATACAATATATTTGTTTTAATCTGCTGTTTTTTAGTTGGTTTAGTAACATTCTTATCCTGCTAGTGATTCCCACATTTTTTAAATGTATCAGTAATCTGATTACATATTTTTTCTAAATGTAATGTAACACAGCTACCTCTTTGTTGGGGGCTTTTATGTAAAATCGTTATATATGTAATCCATTACACCCCAAGCCTGGATATATAGCATCATAAAAGGCAGGAAATGTTCGCATAAGATGTAACAAGTTTATACAGTATTTCTCATGTATTGCTCATAAAACAATAACAAAATGTGGGATTGTTATCAAGTTATCTTTCTGTCCAAAATGAATCCAGTCATTTGTTTCAGATTTCTGGCATGGTTTGTGTTATTACTGAGTAGGGTTTTTTAAAAAAGAACAGAGAAAATCTTCTTGCAGGATTTCATTAAGGTTACATGTAATTGCAGGCACAGGGGTCTTAACCACAGCATGATTTTCTGGGCACACCATGGAACGATTTAAAAGGCCAAGCCATCAGTAATCTGGATTTAGTCACGTCAATCCAACACAAAGCCAGCGAATATGGGCCTTAAAAAAACGTTAGTCCATCACCAGTCTTGACTTACTATCTCAATATATTGACTTAGCTATCTCAATATATTGACTTAGCTATCTCAATATATTGACTTAGCTATCTCAATATATTGACTTACTATCTCAATATATTGACTTAGCTATCTCAATATATTGACTTACTATCTCAATATATTGACTTAGCTATCTCAATATATTGACTTAACTATCTCAATATATTGACTTAGCTATCTCAATATATTGACTTAGCTATCTCATTATATTGACTTACTATCTCAATATATTGACTTAGCTATCTCAATATATTGACTTAACTATCTCAATATATTGACTTAGCTATCTCAATATATTGACTTAGCTATCTCAATATATTGACTTACTATCTCAATATATTGACTTACTATCTCAATATATTGACTTAGCTATCTCAATATATTGACTTAGCTATCTCATTATATTGAGTTATATATATATATATATATTTTTAAACAATTATGTCAAACAGAATAAGGCACATAGACATCAATGTACATCATATAAGCGGTACAACTTTATATTAAGGTACACAAATTAACCATCAACTAGTTGTTAATTAACATGCATATTAGCAGTATATTGGCTCTTTATTAGTCATTATAAAACACTTAAGTTTTTCCTCAATAACCCTCTAATTAGTGCTTATTTATTGCAAGTAAGGAAGTTGTTGTACATGAGCTTTGGTCTTAATATGCTCTCCTCAATATGTCTAAATAACTCAAAATTAGGTATTTCTATCTAAGAATATGTTCCCTATTTTAAAGTGAAGTCTTGTTCATAACCAATAAGCTAGTAGTTTGACTCTAATTGACCTGAACAGGTTCCCTATTCTAAAGTTGCCTCCTCTTCACACTTTGTACATACATTATAGGACACAACTACTGAAATTAACCTCAACAGTACATGAACAAAGTAGGCACACGTTCAAATATCTGTTTTATTAATGAACCACTAAAGAAAGGTTCAGACACATACCAAAACATTTCAAGTTTCTCCAAGGCTGAGAACACATAATGCAGCCTGTACTTTTGTAATAAAACAGATTTTTAACAGAGTTTATGTATTTGTGATCATACTGTGTGACCTGCTTGTATGTACTTACACAATAGGTGTACTGTTCTCTCTATGTGTTGTACTGTCTCAGTGTGAACAGATTAAACAGCCAGCCAAACTCTTTTGAGAGCCAGGGAATGAGCAGCCATGCTCCTTATTTGCAGTACACTGACATTCAAACGGAGTGAAACTATAAAAAAAGAAGTTACAAGGCACTTAATGATCTCATACATGCAAGTGTAACATACACAGATTACTTGTAGAATATGGTCATGTAGAATAAGGCATTAATAAGTGTTTTATAATGACTAATAGAGCCAATATACTGCTAATATGCATGTTAATTAACAACTAGTTGATGGTGAATTTGTGTACCTTAATATGAAGTTGTACCGCTTATATGATGAACATTGATGTCTATGTGCCTTATTCTGTATTTGACATAATTGTTTCAATAAAAAAAAATATATATAACTCAATATATTGAGATAGTAAGTCAATATATTGAGATAGTTAAGTCAATATATTGAGATAGTTAAGTCAATATATTGAGATAGCTAAGTCAATATATTGAGATAGTAAAGTCAATATATTGAGATAGCTAAGTCAATATATTGAGATAGCTAAGTCAATATATTGAGATAGTTAAGTCAATATATTGAGATAGTTAAGTCAATATATTGAGATAGTAAGTCAATATA